CCACACCCACACCCACACCCACACCCACACCCCTTCATTCGTTTTGTATGTTCAGAATCGGCAGCTTTTATTTAAATAAATCTTTTTCTGACTGTGTCGTACACCTCTCGAAAAAGTTATTGCGGAGCAGGAATGACGTCGGTTCGAAGTGCATCACGAATAAAGTCATCAGTGAGGATTTCTCGCACTCTGCGTTCGTCTTCATCATTTCGGATCTCAGTTCCTTCTGCCATCTGTGTGGATAACTGGGTAACGACCATCTCGGCTTGAAACAGTAAATCATGATGTTGACGAGCGGCTTTCCGAATCAAAGCAGGATCTTCAAATGTTGTGGATGGTGAAGTTGGCTGAAGAAATACACTGCAAATAGTTTGAGTGACGTTTCGACAAAGATTATTGAGAGTCGCTTCTAAATCTTGCTGAGAGACAGCGGTTGCCAGTGCAGCCTCGAAGTCGGGTATTACATATCTGCTGACCACATTCACTACTTCTTGTAGTGTAGTGATATTGCTCCTCAGCAAATTGCGAACATTATCACTCAGTCTTGAAGGAAGTGCGAGAGCTGTCAGAGCAGACACACCACCTGCGATACCACCTAATAACGCGCCCATCGGCCCTCCAATCCCACAACCGATGGCGGCCGCTTCCAGAGCACTAATCACGAGTAAACCAGAAAAGAGTGGTGCGGGAATCAGCAACTGATTGATAGTCGTGGAGGCAAGTACAGTTGAGACCTCGCCGGATAAAGAAGTCAGCATGGTTGTCACCTGTTCTCTACCCATGACGCAGATCAGCCTTTGAGTAAAGCAATTATTGGCAATGCTTTCTATCACGACTGCATAGAGTCGAACTGTATTAACAATACGACCAGCATACTGATCCCAATCAGTAACTCCTTGAAGATTATCAGCTACGGGACGCCGTCGAATCCAGTGTGCGACATATATTTTTGTATAATGATAAGTAGGATTTTCACGAGTACTAGGTTTAGCGATGTCTAGATGATGGCAATCAGGATAATGATAATGAACTCGAGCTGGAAGGATGTTCAATGCCAATTGGCCAGCTAAATCAGCCCCTGTTACAATATCTGGTGCATTCATGTAAGTTTGCGCATCAGAAACAATAACAACATTCACCAGCCAGGCCCACCATATCTGCGGAGTGATAGTACCTTCGGAAAAATTAAGAAATGGAATATTACTGTTCAAAAAAAATTGATTTAAATCAGCCAATCGAGTCAGATTTCCAGCATTGACTCCAATTGAAGGAGTAGGATCTAGATACAAAAGACTCCTTGAATTTTTCATGAGAGGGGAATTACGTTGAGTAGTAGCCCATGATGCACCATTATGTGGCGTCCCGAAAAACACTACACCCTTTGTGGAAGTGAATATATCTCCTCGTATTCTATGTTCAGAAGCAAAATGGAGAACCTCTTTAACGATCAGTCCACCGAGACTATGAGCTAGCCAAATGATTGGTTTTGAGCCGACACCAGCATGAAAAAGCAGTCGGACGAGATTTCTTGAGATGATAACTGGGTCTGATTCATCATCGACAGCAAAACTTCCACCATGATGACTCACGGTTAGCACTCGAATCTTGTTTCGTTGAGGAAGATGACGAATTTCGAATTGATTGCGCACGCTTTCGATCCCATGTTGCGCATTCAGTAGCCAGATAATAGGCCATAGACCAGCTCGATTTGTCCAAGTGCTCATGGGATCTCCATCGAGACCATGAACAAGAATAATATCAGCTTCAAAATCAACGGGATTCCAGCTAGCATCGACTGGCTGAAGCATCGCTTCAGGAAATCGATTATGAGCGGGATTTCCTACATGTTGAAATCGACCTCCGATTGGAGTGTGATGTCGCCGAAGTGCTCGCGCTACTGTTTCAGGTCTTCGCATATCTTCGTCTTGAAGTACACTTAAGAGTGATTCATAAGCAAGTCGTGCATCTGGTCGGGAAGAGCAGTTTTCGATGACGGTGATTTGACGTTCGGATGAATAGTCACGAAGGACAATTCGATAACTACCAAGCAGAAAATAACCTTGTAATTTGAATAGTGGAGATGCACGATGATCAGGATCCAGAGTACGTGTTGCCTCAAAATCAGCATCATCTCTATCTCTCCATAGACTAAAAAATCCAGGCAAACCCTCCCATTGACCCAATCTTTCTCCATAGAGTATTTTATAACTTGAAGATTGTGCTCCCATCTAAAACACAGCGACAAAACTATGGTAAAGACTTCTGTAAGGTAGGCTATGAGAAAGAATCAGTCTATTGATGATATTTTCAAAGATAAAAGATTTTGCTATTTAACTGTTGACTTCATAAGAAAAGAATGAATGGGTTGAAAAACTCGCTGATCATATATAGACTGGGAAAAAAGAAAAAACCAACATGAAGAATCATATCATTTTTCTGATAAATTCTCAATGGACGACAGTAGTGTCAAACTGGAAACTTAAATTCAATTGAAATTTCAAGTTTTAACTTCCGACTTTCAAATTTTTTTAATGCACCGAAAAAATCTCATTGTACGTGCTAATAAATAAGGCAGTCTTTTTTTTCGATCTGACAAAGTCAGAAGAGGACGGGTATTACTAATTTATGCAAACACCACAAACATCCAACTTTGTAAAATCGGATATCAGCCACCCTTACAAACACCCACATCTTGGAGAGTTATGTACGCAAACACCGACAAACATCCACTTTGCAAGGGTCATAGAAAAACTAAACCATCAACAAAGACCAAAAAACGACCCCCTTCAACACAAACACCCAGGATCTCTCTTATGGTCTAGATAATCACTCTAAGTTACCCATACTAACACCCACAGAACTTCATAAACTACATTCTGACATAAATAAATGATATCTTCGAATAACTTTTCGTCAGAAACTTTTCTTTGTAAACATGTAAGATTAACTCAAATATGACTATATATACATACTAACACCCAAAAAGTCTACATTAACAATTCAATAGCATCCAACTTATCTTTACTAACACCCACAGAATCATGCAATCTATTTATTGATATATGATTGAATTACCTTCTTAAGATTATTTATCTCGAAAACATCTCAAAATAAGAAAGAAACTTTCAAGTAAAAATACTATTTAAACAAAAAAATTTATAGATAAGAATTCTGATTGAAAGTGCTTGCATTTTCACTCGTGAGTAAGGGTGTCACTTTTGCGTTCCTTTCCTAGGAACGGAAACGCAGGTGCGTTCTCCGTTCTTGGGAACGCGGAACGCCAAACACTTCAACGTAAAAAGATGAGAAAACATATTTACCATCCTCACCATACTTAAACGTAACTAGAAAAGACAATTTTGAGAGGTGTTCCCGTTCCTAGGAACGGGGAATGCCACTGCGTTCCGCGTTCCTAAGAACGGGAATGCAACAGCGTTCCCCATTCCAGGAACGGGGAACGGGAATGCGACAAGTGTTTTCTTCACCATAATAAAACTTTTCAAATTCCATCAAATTAAAGATAGCTTCTTACAAATTAAACGTTTTTACAAAGTTTCACCAAATATAACCGAGATCGAGGAAATTGAATCTGTACTCGGTTTCTCAAGGTTTTGAGTTTCCTTTTTTCATCATGGAAAGGGTTTTTCCAAAACCAATAATTTTTCCAAAGTGTGACCAAACAATTGAGGTCGTAGAATCAAAATCTGGAATCGGTTTTTCAGAATTGCGAGTTCGTTTTTTCAAGAAAAAAAAGATTTTTATGAAAAAAAAGGATATGTTTTTTCAAAAAAATATTGTAATAAAAAAATTGTTCCCCTGGAAAAAAATGTATCCTCTTTACAATAAAATGATTGTGTGCAAGGATTTCTTTCTTGCTGAAAGCTTAGTTTATTTCGGTAAGAAAATTATTCTTTCATAAAAGTTATAACTTTTTATAAAAGAGATAAACTTTAGCAAAAAGATGTTTCTGTTAGAATACAATACTGACTAACTGTATCTTCTCTCGGATGTCAACCATTATGCGAGCTGTGACGCGGAAAATCGCAGTTTCTATGATGCTCGATAGATGTAGATGCAGGGCAAAATCGCCATCCCAAAGAAAATGAGTCACAAGAGAGTTCTCAGGCAAACTATCTATGACCATTGTAGAATCTATAACTTGGCAACAACGAAACCTTTGGAACTTAGTCCTTCGATATTTTAAAGCTCTATATATTGGCTATTTAGATAAAAACTTCGTCAATGTTCATCGAGTTCTTATGAAACCAGACTCATTTTACTACAGACACGTGTGACATAAGAATCCGTCAGTAAGCAAGGCGTTCCCCACAATTCAGTCTGGATTGGCATATAGGCTCCAAATGTGTATTATAGGATTTTCCACTGATATGCAGCATTCCCTAAAATTTTCAACCTTACACCACTTACTGCAGAGAAATGGCAGTTAGCTGAATGTGGAGATGTTGTCATGCGTCTAGATACTCTAATACTCAAACAAATGACTTCATCTTTGAAGTATAACAGCAGCATGTCTAGAGGCACAATTCTATTATACAATAAATGCAAACTCGCAAGGTAATACAGAAAGCGAGAGATGAACTTTATTAGTCACTTTTTTCACTGTATGAATCATTTTCTGTTATTGCTCTGCGCTCTTAGGAAAATAGGGTGCAGAGAGAATTTTTGCTTGTTTCGTGAGCCTTGCAAATTATTAACTCATAGAAACTGTATCTGTCAATCGTTTTCTAAGTGTTTTCGTGCTGAAGATGAGGCAGCACAAGTGTCATAGTGATGAATAGAGCAATAGCACATGTATGGTTGTGAAAAGTATTAAATTTTCACGCATAACCATAATGGTGTCTGTTGGCGAGAAAAGACTGACTAAGAAAGTTCATCTCTAGTTTTCCGTCTTATCTTCAAAATTTTGTGATTATGTTTCGATAGAACATTGCCCTTAGACATGCTGTTCATACGCTTCAAAGAGGAAGCCATTTGCCTGAGTATTTGAGTATTTAAACCTGTGGCAGCATCTATACACTCAGCACAGTGCCATTTCCCTCTAGTAAGTGATATAAGGATGAAACTTTTAGAAGATCCTACATATCTGTGAAGCATCCTAAGCTCTATGTTTGAGATCGATACAGTCGTGGATAAAAGTCCCGCTACCAGACAAAAACTATTAAAACAAGAATGTTTTGTCCTGAAACCTCTGTCATAAGAAGAACTTGATGAGTCCTGATTGCAGATAAAAGTTTGAGCTCGAAACTTTTACCTAGACTGAAATCTAAGGCTAAAATCAACGACATTTTCCTGTAGTATTATCTCGAGTTAGGAAGGGTTTTGTCGTTGATCTAAGTTTATCGAGAACCTTACAAGCTGTAATTTTCAGCGCAACAGTCCGTAAAGAAGCTGAGATCGGTGGAGGATATTTTTGACGGATGGTGTACGTGTTTTTTGAAAAAACTAACTTTTTTCTTGAGAAAACGAACTCGCAATTCCAAAAAACCGATTCCAGATTCTGATCCTACGACCTCAATTTTTTGGCTACACTTTGGAAAAATCCTTTCCATGATGAAAAAAGGAAACTCAAAACCTTGAGAAACCGAGTACAGATTCAGTTTCCTCGATCTCGGTTACATTTGGTGAAACTTTGTAAGAACGTTTAATTTGTAAGAAGCTATCTTTAATTTGATGGAATTTGAAAAGTTTTATTAAGGTGAAGAAAACATTTGTCGCATTCCCGTTCCCCGTTCCTGGAATGGGGAACGCTGTTGCGTTCCCGTTCTTGGGAACGCGGAACGCAGTAGCGTTTCCCGTTCCTGGGAACGGGAACGCTGGTGCGTTCTCCGTTCTTGAGAACGCGCAACGTCAAACACTTAAATGTAAAAAGATGAGAAATCATATTTACCATCATCACTACACCAAAACATAACGAGAAAAGACAATTTTGAGAGGCGTTCCCGTTCCTAGGAACGGAACGCTAGGGAACGGAGAACGCTGACACCCCTACTTGTGAGGCGTTTTTGAAGTAAAATTCATAGTAACATATTTCGAATTGTTTGTTAATAACTGAATTACATTGTCTGTCAGTATTAATGAATGTATATTGAATGCTATTGACCGGTGAAGTGAAGGATTTTGAGCATTAATAAACGTTTCTATGCATTTTTGCCTTATTTATAATTTTTTTTTCTTAAAGTAGTGTTTTCACCTGGAAGTTTCTTTCTTATTTTGAGATGTTTTCGAGATAAATAATCTTAAGAAGGTAATTCAATCATATATCAATAAATAGATTGCATGATTCTGTGGGTGTTAGTAAAGATAAGTTGGATGCTATTGAATTGTTAATGTAGACCATATCACCGCTGAGCGGTTTTGAGGGAAGAGTTCCCGGACAAAAAAAATAGCATATTCGTAATCAGCGTGGTCAATTACCCCAGTCCCCGTCAAGATCTCGAGAGGGTACCTCTGACTCCAAGCAAAAATTTTTTTTACAAAAGTCAATGCAAAAAAGTGCATATAGAACAGAAAAAAAAATCGATTCGCACTGGATTCGAACCAGCGTCACGTCATGCACGCTCTTTAGCCACTCAGCTATATGCGAATTATTCTTGTTCTGTTCTGTCTCGAGCAGAATTTTCATTTTATTATTCGATCCAGAGATGTGCGGTCCACGGGGTTCACCCCGCGGGCCCCGCGGGGCCACGTGGCGACGGGCGGGCGGGGAAGAAAAATTTAATTAAACGCGGGATTAACGGGGCGCGGGTATTTTCCGGCACACGGGCGGGCGGGGCGGGTAATAATTTTTTTAAATGACACGGGTCTCGGGCGGAGCGGGTATGAAATACACGGGTTCGGGCGGGTAAACATTATTTTTCGGGTGTGATGAAAGATCGTCAAAACTTATTACGGGATGTCCTTAGTATAGGTATGTAGTACAAAGTACATATTGATTGGTTCATTACTTTCATCCTATTATGTACAAGATTGTCTACCATTTGTTTGTTTCTTTCTTTATCGTCTGTCATACGCAACTTCTACTATCAATTTATATTAAATGAATAACTGGACTAAAACTTATTTTATATTTAGAATTATCGTTTGAGTTTTTTTGTGAATTACTACTTAGGTCTGACCAAAAGTTCTGACAACATTATATAAAAATATAAAGATAAGGAGGTATTTTTAATTTTATTTTATCAAATATTGAGGACAGTTGCCATGATTA